TAAAACTCAGTGAATTTTATTTATTTGAATTCTACAGGTTTTCAGAATTAAAAAAAAAAAAATCAATGAGTTTGGTCGGTTGATTGTGAAGATATCTTCGCTCAAATTTTTAAAAAATTTTATTTATAAGAACTAGACTAGGGTTATCAATATGGCGTCCAATATAAATCCATAAAAATTGATCTACGGCACGTGATCTGAGAATTTTTTTCGCCATGGCTAGGGTACTAGTATATATAATTGACGATCACAAAAAGTTACGTTTTTTGATGTCTTTTAAAATTTAGGATTTTTATAAAAGAAAAGTTGACTGCATTAAACTTTTTAATTAGCTTGCTAGATTTATTTAAATATTATATTTGTAGTCGATAGGCATTTGAAGTTTCAATAAGTAAGCTTTCTATGAGTACCTGAGTTTGAAGTTATAGACGTCTTATTATTATAGGTTATACATTATGCAATCCTGTATAGTATACTGTGACCTCTCAGATTTTTGTATCATTATTGAGAGGTTATCAGATTTGGAAACACAACAAACCTTTAAATTTATATAGCAGATGTGTTTATAAAATAATCTTGCCAGCGAATGATGTATCTATAAAGTGATTGTTGGTGAAATGATATAGATCAAAATTACTTAATAACTTCTATGTGCATGTTTAAATTTTAAGTAAATTGCATCGCATAATGTAGCATTATGTAGCATGCCACATTGCTTGCATAATGTATACGGCAGACCTCTAGCCAGGATATAAAGCATTAAAAAAATAATTTTAGTTAATTTATTTCATAAACTAACACTAAATCAGTCAGGTCCCAAGAAACAATCAATAATTCTTCCTTGGCAAATTCTGACCCAATAAATTCCATTATAAATAATAAGAATAATGCTACAAAATTACGAACCCCTCATAAAGTAAAGATAAATCTGATCATATTCCAATTGATATCCTTAATTCTTATAACGAACAAGTGAAAGCCAATTCATCTCTATCTCCTCAAAATCATCCAAGACATTTGACATTTATCTGTTTGAACAAAAATTTAACACTCTTGACACTCAATTAAATCAGATTGAACAAATGTTAAAATCTTTGGTTCAAGCTCTAAAATTAACGATAATGTAATAAATAATTTGGAAAAATATAGAAATTATGATAAAAAAGATTATATTATTGAAAGTAAAAATATAATTAAAAGAATTTAGATTCATTAACTCAAAATGAAATTCTTCAAACTTTTAACAATACGTTTTATTAGCTGTTAATACAATAACATCACTTACTGCATTTATTATTTTGCACCTATAAATGTCCTATGACTAGAGATGGGTAAATCGCAATTTTTACAAAAATCCCGCGCGGGATTGGATCACAAATCTGCGGGTTTCTTAATTTTTTGTGTCCAATAAAAAAAGATCAAATTTATTGTTCTACCGGTGGGCATTGTTTCGAATTTCGGCCCAAATTAAGCTTAATTCGGGTCAAAATTCGATATTTCGAGAATTTACGGTGAATATGTTAAAGCAGGCCAGATATTATATTAATGCCAGTCAGATTATATGGTAATGCCGGCCAGATAATTTTATATTAAAAATCCCGCGCGGGATCATGCGCGGATCACGCGCGTGCCCATCTCTAGCTGCTGATATATAGTAGGTATTTGGCAGACTATCGGGTACATATTAGGAAACTTTTCTCCCGGGGTGTACGTAGTCATTGATTCAAACTGTGTGTTGCATAATTATTTAACTTTTTACGCAATAAGTAATTACTTTGCCCATCTATACTGTAGAGTAACCCAAAATAAAAATTCAAGTTCTCACTTTAATGAATTTAGCTCATAATTATAATAAATATAAATCAATTCCTGGTCACTTATTATTTCTATTGTTCTCTATAGCAATAACTGAAATATTTTTACTGTAAAAACACTAAAAAAATGCACGATATTGAAAACTTGGTAATACATATAGCGAATTATAATTCTCATGGGGCTGAATTCGTTATTAAGAAACTTAAATTCACTTCCGGATTTTCATTTGCTACACTCAAATGATCGTAAGATATGAACATAATGCAGATAAAAAAAATTAAAGATGAATAGCTTAAATACCATACCCGATCTGAAATTAAATATTCCTTTTTTATAAGAATGCTTAATTTTGACTATTATGTCCTATAATATGATGTGATTTGTATAATTATGAAAAGCAAACCCTTAAATGAATTAGTGACATAATCTTAAATAGCTTAAATAATTCGATTACTAAATTGTTGTATACTCAACAACTAAACTAATGCGGATATGTCCCTTATATTAAATTATGGCTTTGAAATTTTTATAGCTACATGTTACGTATTCATGCTAAGTGTAAATCAATAAAAAAGAAACAGCGAAGTCTCAAATATAATTATTATGAAATACACAGTTAGCACTATTCAGTCCAGTAAATCTAGATCTCTTGTGTGATCTCGTAGATCCGTATGGTATAGGTGAGCAGATAAGTATTTTTCAAATCTATTACTGTATTATATGAGAAGTATTTTGCAGATCAGTATAGTATATGTTTGGCAGATTAATAGCTGCTCGATACGTAAGTATCGAGGCAGCTTTTGTCTCGAATCTACTAACCTGATCGAACATGTGACCATTCCGGTTACGGTCACATGTTCGATCGATCCCAAGCACGTAGTGCTTATGCATTCACTGATATCAGTATGTTGCAATTAGTTTTGCAATCAGTGTTGTGAACATGGTTTAGGTTGTTAGCAAGTATAGAATAACTGGGTAAGTATGAGGTAATTGAGTAAGTACGTTTGAGTAAGTATGAGGTAATGGGATCGTAGTATTTAGTAAGCATGAGAAATTGATGAGTTAATTTTGTCTTTTCTGCGAACCCGACTTTCGTTCTGGTTACATCGATCCCTCCCTCCCATCCCAAAATGTTCCAGCATTTTTTGATTGGCCTGCCGGGACGGCAGCCATAATTGTGGCCTGTTGGGACGACAGCCACATATGTAGGAATAGTTGGCCTGCTGGGCTGGACGGCAGCCAAAAATTGTAACCTGTCGGGACGACAGTCGTATATGTAGAAATAGTTAGCCTGCTGAGTCATGTGGCCTGGCAGAACGTCAGTCACATGCGTAGGAATAGCTTGTCAACATCTCAACGTGATTTGTTGAGTAAAAAAAAAAAAAAAAGTGAAGAGAAAGCATGAAGTCGAAACTCAGAGAAACTGCGTATATTACTCGATGGCAGAAGGGCAATACCCATTTATGTTCTACATGATAATACACTCGTAAATGAGAGACAAAACAAAGTATAGTATAGGCCGATTTTTAAATCTATGCTATACGGACCATACCGTTAGTTTCTATAATTTTGCAGATCCGTATATCCGTATAGTATAGATTTAATTAAGAATATTCTAATATTATTATCGCTATGTTTATTATTAGTAAAAGAATTGGTGACAATATTAACTATAAGGTTACCGAGTATTATTGGGCCTGTATGGTTTTTTTTATGCCCAAACCTGGTCCAGTATTTTAGCGGGCCTGGCTCAAGCCCGGCCCAAATTGTAATGGGCTCAAAAATATGGGCCCGAACTGGGCCCAAGCCCAGCCCATTCCGGACCCTAGTGTCAGATAATCCAGGTCGCTCAGATATCCGGATAATCCGAAAGGTATTCTGATAATTATCCGGATATCAATAATAAACGGATAACAGAATAAATTCAATCCAAATATCCGATAATTATCCTTAATAGATTGGAACTCTAATGGTTAGTGTTAGGATGAGAAAGTTCGTATTATAAAATCATTCTAACAGCTCTTTATGATTAGTGTTAAGAAAATTCGTATTATAAAATCATTCCAACGGCTCTTTATGGTTAATGTTAAGATGAGAAAATTCTTATTACTGTATAACGATAAGATCATTCTAACAACAGGAGGTAACGTCAATGTTACACGACCGATCCCTAGGGATGGTAAAAAAACAGTTTAAATATGTTTTTTGTGATTTAAAATCATTGGCAACTGAGTTTGAGACTATAATGATTGTTTCTGATTAGTTAATTTCTGTACCGGAAAAGTTCCATAATATTGTTTCGAGAAAACATTCATATCGTACGAAAAAAAGAATTATCATATTTATTAAAAGTATTTATAATTATAAGATCTTAAAAACGCATTGCATTTAAGATGCAAAACTGTTAATTTCAAGTTTAATCTTTTTACTAACGCTAAACAAATTAATTTATCTAATCATATTGAAGTGCGTCATAAATTACGATAACAATGATTAAGTCAAATGTTTTAAAATGTATTAAAAACTATTTTAAACCAAACAATCATGTTTTAAATCATTTGCGGTGTGCAACTACAATACCAGATCATTCCGCTAGTACATGTTGTTATATTTGGGTGTCAGACATCGGTATAATTACAAGCATAATGCAAGTCATATAGTAAATTCTAATAATGAAGATTTTTTTTATAGATCAATGATAGCAATGGTAAAAACATGAAAATTCAAGCTGCAATAGCTCTCAAACCAATAATCTCACAAATAAAATTACTTTTTTTTGCAGGTTCGTTTTAACATGTTCTTTAAAGTAACAACGGTTTTGTTTTATTTATATGTGCTAAGATAAAAGTCATTTACTAAAATCGAATATCTTGTAAGAAGACAATAAAAGAGCGTTGTCACTTTAAAGAACACGTTAAAATGAACCCGACAAATAAAATTTTATTTGTGTGGGTTTACTGGTTCAAGAGTTATTGCAATTTGAATTTTATATATTTTTACTATTATAAACTTATATAAAAATCCTTATTATTGGAATTTACTATATGCCTTGCATATGTTTGTAACTATACCGATATTTGACACCCAATGTTATATGATTATAATCCAACACTATTTTATTATAATAAAACAGGTGTTAGATTATAATCATAACATGTACTAGCGGAATGATCTGGTATTGAGGGATCAGTCATGTAACATCGATGTTTCCTCCTGTTCATTCTAACAGCTCATGATTATTGTTAGGATGAAGAAGCTAAAAAGAATATTAACAGCTGCTCTACCACAAGCATCTGTTGTTTTGTTTACAGTAATTCGTCGGTTTACCAATTCTTCATATAACTTATCTAACTCTAATACATAAAGCATTGTTCATAAAGCTGATTAGACCCGACAATAGAAGAACCAAACTAGAATTTTATTATATATACTATGATTTACTATTTGGTAATAGAAATTGTTTATATGTTAATTGCAATACTTACCAAGTTTGCAATATTTTCTAAAAAATCTTTTAATTTATCTGATTTTTCAAGAGGCATATTAGCAGCTGTTAAAGCTTATATAAGATCTAAGTTTAATTGTTCTCTTTTAGATAAATATGTAATAGTAACATTAGTATTTTGTTGTGCTTGTGTTGAATCGCTTGCAGCCTTATTGAAATAAGATGATTATTGAGTACTGATTTTTTTTTATGGTTCAAAGATATGTGATAAGCACAGCATATTAACAAAGCATCTTCAACATAAATTCTTCTTTATATTCTGGTGTAGAATATGGACCCTATTGTTTGCAATAAGCATTTTGTTTTAAAATTAAAAAATAAAAAACAAGGTTGCTCAATTTTACTTTTTATTTGAACTTTAATAATTCAATTTTTAGCTTTATTAAAAACTAAAAAATTATACATCCAATTTTACAGTTCAATAGTTGATGATCGCTCAATTTTACTCTTTATTTGAACTTTAATAATAGAGAAAACTTTGATTTTTAACTTTATTTAAACAGAAAAATGATTATATATCCAATTTTACAGTTTAATAGCTCAATTTTACTTTTATTTGAACTTTAATAACAGAGAAAACATTGATTTTTAGCTTTATTAAAAAAAACAACAATTATATTTCTAATTTTATACTTCAATAGTTGATGGTTACTCAATTTTACATTTTTATTTGAACTTTAATAATAGAAAAAACTTCAATTTTCAACTTTATTAATAACCAAAAAATAATTAATATTCAATTTTATAG